GTCAGATGTTCAGATGGTAAAAAATGAACCATCCCTACACACTGATGATGAGGCAGCTACTTCCTGTGAGGTCAGACCTCAACCTAACCCCCGGCTCACAGTGTAGATCTGCAGCCTGTTCAACATGTCACCAAGAAGACAAGGCTGAATGAAACAACAGCTTAAATTCCCTGTTGGACCAATACTGTACAGCAAATGCAAATGCTCTTCCTGAATGAAGAGCACCCCCTGGTGAACATGAAAGTTATTGACCAGTCTGAAAGGGTCAAGTCATCCCTGTCACATTGTGTCATAGAACCACAGAGTGAGCGGAGTTCAAATGATACGGCATGTTCTGGGGTATGAGGCATATTGCCAATAAGTGTTTCACCTGCCAATACCTTCTTGTAAGGTGACCCTTACTAATCCAATGGAACTCCATTTTGTGCCAGCTTGCACCATTACAGTCACTTCTGACGAAAAAGACACAATTCTAAACATGTTGAAAGCAATGTGTGAAATACCAACTTTCTTTCAACAGTCTGTGGCCTACATCATGATCTGCTAATCAATCCTAGAAGATACACAAAACCACCAGTGTTCAAATTTCAGCATGGTTTTCAGGGGAGCCCTATTTCTGCAGCGGTGGGTGGGTAGTATACATGAATGCGCCCGCCTACAAAAATCAATGCATTTAAATTTTTGATAAGTTGCATTTTAAAGCAACGATCAGATCTCTTAAACCATCCAGTGCAAAACCATGGATGTAGATGTACTCCAAGAGCTTTGTACAACACTAACCATTCCTATTACAAAATTTAATAACTTCTCTTCTTTATTCTTAATAAAGTCTCTGGAAGTTGGCTGTTGTTTCAATATTTGGAGATCCCTTGTAATTACAGGCATATCAGCATCCTTTCTACAGTGTCAAAGGTTGCAGAGAAATTGCAATAGCTGAGCATATCATCTGCCATCTGAATATTAGTTAATTTGCCCTGCACCCTATGCAACTTGGCTTCAGAGCCAACTATTCAACGTAGACAGTCAGTTTTTTTTAACAGGAATGGTTTGAGGTGTTGTTGTCGGAGCTGTGTTTCTCACCCTCAAGAAGACCTTAATCATATAATTCTAATGTCTAAGTTATAAATCTAGCTTCTTCAGATGCTCTTCAGTGGATAGAATCATATCTATTAAATCCTGTGACATTACCTTTTTCTTTTTAACTTATGTAAAGTGCCTTTGAGTTTCTTGAAAAGCGCTCTATAAATAAAACGTATTATATTATTTAAATCGATCACAGTAAGTCCAACTACAGAATCATCAATCAGCTGCCCTCTGTTTGTCCACAGGTCGTCAGCCCATTACTATTTACATTATATATCAATTATCTTCCATCTGTGTAGCCTGACACCAACATCCAAATGTATGTGGATGACATTTTATTTACATGGTAGCAATAGGACACAAGTTGCTAATGAACTTACAAACTCCATGGTTCATGTCACAGCATTGGCCAAGCAATGTTGTTTACAGCTAAATGTGTCTAAAACTGAATGCATGTTTTTCACCAAGACAAACAGGTTTTGTCTTTGTCTCAAGGAAGAGGCTACAGGTAGCATCTGATTAGATGTACCTTTGAGATCCAAAAATCCCAAGCTGTCTTTCAAAAGATCAGTTGAATTTTAAGTTAATTCAAGATTACACGTGAACATGCAATCTTTAAGATGTGCATGCATTTTGTGGTCATTTCTCATATCACTTGTTTATCAAGCAGGTTGCAGGCTTGCACCACTACTCTAAAACCATGACAGTCTTTTTACAAACACTTCAAATCCTTGACAATAAATCAGTACGTTTCATCATTGCCCTATATTAACAAAATATAACTTGCTGAGTTGGGAAAAGTTGATTACATTTTCTAAAAGAAAATTGTTTTCATTGGATCAGATTCATGTATACTGTTTATGCGTTTTATGTCTGTTTCTTATTTGCATGTTTCAGTTAGTGTTTAACAATTCAACAGTGCTGTCTTATTTAGTCCATATTATTACCAATAGCAGTTATTCTTGTTCTTGTATTATGAGCCTCTGTGTTGCATGTTTTCAATAGTATCTGACAATGAAGTACAAGGGTGTCCAGAATTATGCTTCTATTAAAATTTGTTTGTTTTTATTATTTGTCTGCATGCTTTTAAATAACTTTGTAATTTCCAGACCAGAGTTACATCCCATTACAATTAGTGTGCCCTGCAATGATGGCCACAGCAAGAATAGACAGCATTGTGTTTATTAGTCACTAAGTATCTAAAATGTGCAAATAAAGGTGCATGTTGACAAGTCCCTTAGTAGGTGGAACCTAAATATACAGGTAAATAGAAATGTATACAGTTAAAAAACAAAAAACAAAAACAAAACAGTGGCACTAAAAGTTAATGTGACCCCACCCAGATTACGGGGACCGATACACAGAATATAACTATACCAGCCCTAGCCACCAACCATCTGAGTGTTGACACAATTTTTAAAGGGTTCAAGAGAAGTTGCGAGAAATAGGCAGGACAGGGTACTTACCGCGGGGAGACTATCACAGACCCCAATAGAAATCACCTCGTGTGCACACTGATCACTGCAAACACTACAAGTTACACTGCAAGGAGGGAAGTACAACACAACGTCACAAACATCAACGACCGCTACCTTCAAACAACTACACTGCATGCAAGGAGGTTGTGCATATCCCACGATACTTCCCTGCCAGGTCGTCCCAACTTGCCTAATCAAAAGCAAAAGCAGAAATACAATGAGATTCAGGTATGGGCTTCAGATTTCACAGACATTCAGTGTCACACACACACATTATAAGAAAGACAAGTATTTCAACAATCTACCAGATAAGATTTAAGTGTATTACAGTCTGTAAACACATTGACCAAGCCGCCTTTGGCGAACTGGCTCAGCGCAAGAGCCAGCAGTCTGGCACTTCAACTCTGGAACACTGTTCAGTGTGGGGCTCCTGCTACAAACAAGACAATGGCAACAGTCATGCACAGCTCCAAACTCTGGCTTTAAACAGGGAGATGGACGAGCTGGGCTCTGCTCTGCCTCCTTCCAGAATAGGCTCCAGAGCATGCCCCGCTCTGGACGACTCGGGACAACACTCAAAACAACAACTGTGCATGACATCCCACGCATCCTGCACCACACCAGCCTCAAACGAAGAGCACTAATTCGCCCTCCACACACCACTGTCCTCTATCAAACCGCGGGAGCTCCTCCTGGCTGCCACTAGCTACTAACAGGAGATCCCTCTGACTCTACCTAACAGGGCGGTGCTTTCAATTTAGATGCCAGCCCTCACATATAGTACCATAATACACGAATAAAAAAATGAGGGTGCTTTCTGAAAATTCACAGTTCAAACGTTTGTTAAAGTTGATGTTATGTTAATTAAGCTGTAAGTGGACGTGTTGAATTTCCATTGAAGTGTGTGTGAAGCAGTTATGAGTGACACACCTGAACACACCCTTAGTTCCTGCTTAGGCACATTATTTCAATCACATGACACAAAAGAAACCGAAAGGATATTGAAACAAAAAAATAGTTGGCCTCAAATGATAAACAGAAAGACATCAACGACTACGACAGAAGGTATGTCTTTAAAGTTTCAGCTCATGATTATTAACTGCTTTAATTTTGGTACAAAAAACTGTGGTTAAGTTATATGATGTCATTTTCAAAAAAAACTTGGAGTACAGAAGTTAAAGCTTAATTACTCAATTTCAGAATAATTTCTCGAGGTAAACCATCACCGCTTCTTTTCACAGGCACAACTCTTGAAGTGAGTTTACATTCTATCTTAAGTTTGCATTTTCTCTAAAATTCTGATAAAGGATTTCTATTTTGTTTCTGTCCTAAAACTAGTTAAAGTGTCATGGCCATGACCATACAAGTGTTTTTTTGTGTTTCCCCCTCCTCTGTGTTTCCTGTGCTCCTCTGTATTGTAACCAGATATTCACAAGCCTCATCCAGTAAGCCACCTAATTCCTTTCCGCCCTGCTTCAACTACCTCCATACCCCACTACCTTTCCAGTAAACTCTTTTAATTAATCTTACTCCTGAGTCTGTGTTTGTAACAGAGAGTGAAAAATGCATGTCCGCGTTTTCATTTTTTGTTTGCTTACCTTCGTACTTTCACTTTCTCTTCTTGAACACAATTTATTTATTGTATATATTCTGCAACTTCAATTTAATATAATCATTTTTTTGTTTGTTTATTAGGATCCCTATTAGCTCCAGCACAAGTATAGGCTATTCTTCCTTCCTCTACCAGACACAAAGTCATATACATTTATACACACTGTAACCACAAAAAGACAACACAAATTGAATTAAATTTCATTGAAAACTAACATACAAATACAATATAAAGAATATTATAAAAACAAAACATGTTTCAATCAAGTTATTGTTTAAGACAAACAGTAATCAATCACACTTCCTCAAGAATTCATAATAAAGTTGTTTCCTTTATTAATACAAATAAATAGTACTTCTTAATAACCATAAATCATTATCTGACATGATAATAATAATGAAAATCTTTGTGTGCTTTACATATAAAATTCTAAAAACACAGCGTATCAAATAACTTTTACATTATCTGCTAAGGATTTTTTTTTAACTTTTATCCAGGTTCACATTTAATGTCTTAATTTACACACGCAAATACAATTTGACTGTAGTTCTAAATATTTGCAGATACTGCACATTTTGAACCAGTATGCACTGGCAGTGAATTCCACCTGACCATCATGATCTGTACAGAACTGTTTTCTGAATCATACATGTTTTAGCTTTAGGTAGCATGAACCTTTTTCTTGTTAAAAATCCATAAACAATAAAAAGGTTTGCTATTGCAACACAGTTTAGTCAGATTTTACTTGTGACAAGTTGCAACAGTCTTTGATTTTAGGCAATAAATAATGCAGTTCATATCGATAAATGTTTCTTGTTTACATGTCTGCTTAATATTTTATTCTAGCTATGTTTGGATGGTTTAAATCAGAACCCTGTCCACCCCCTGAGAGTAAGATATTCTAAATATTACAGAACATTGTTTATACTCTTATAGTTAAAAAAAAATGTATGCCTTCTTCAATTAAAATATGACTACTATTACATGTGCACTTTACTTAATTTACTTACTTACTTGTCAGCTTTTACTGAACAATGGAGGAAAATACCATGGGGGTGAGTGCACAACAATTGTACAACTGCAATGAGACTGATTTTTGTTATGTCATTTCACAACCAAGCAGTAAAATGTTACCTATTTATTGAACAGCCACAGAGAGAGAGACCTTCAGTATGTGAGGGATTATCAGCCTCATAATAAAGA